TTTACAGATTAAATTTATAGGACAGGGACAGGAAACTTTTTATTCGTTCAAGATATTTGCTATTAAAGTGAGTAAGAGTGTGTACAGAGTCAGAGACATGCCAGAGCACACTTCAACAGAGAGAATGAGCAGGATTCCTTGTGGTGTTGGACAGACAGATGAGAAACACCAGTGGAAAGAGCAGCTGCATTCTTTCATACAATACAACGTGATCCTGAGGACAACATAAAAACAGACTGCAAAGTGGGTGCAAAATTGCTTTTGGGCTGTAGAAAGAGCTTAGAATTATGAATGCAAAAGGCAAAAAGTATACGATGAGAGGATAAGTAGTACAGTAGATGAGGCAAAAAAAAAAGTTTAGAAGTAAAGATATATGAAGAGAAGAATTAAAATAAAGAGATCAAATGAAACGAAGTGTCAAGAAAACACAACAAAACAAGAGGAAAGAGGAAAAAAGAAGACAAAATGAGACAAAACATAAATTTAAACAAGGGACAAAATGAGAAAACAAAATGATAGGAAGAAAAGACTAGACAAAACAAAAAGAGAAGACAAGACAACATTTAAAGATGAGACAAAATAAAAACAACAAGACAAATGAAAGAAAATAAGAAAAAGTCAAGAGATTGTTTTGGGAGACACATTTAATAAAAAAAGACAAGAAGAGAAAAAATAATCAGACAAAATGAGAAGAGTCAAGACGAAAAGATGATAAAAAGTAAAATGAGGAGATTAAATGAAATGAGAAGACAAAAAAGAAAAGTCAGAATGAGAATTCAAGTCAAGATGACAAGACAAAATTAGAAAATGACCACAAAAGATGACAAAATGACAAGATAAACTGAGAAAAGACAAGACAATATGACAAAAGATGAGACAAAACAAGAAGCCAAGATGAGAAGATTTAAAATAAGACAAAAATGAAAATGGATGAAACGAGAAGACAAACAGAAGACATTAGAAAATAAGACCAAATCAGAGAAAAGACGTGTTAAAATGAGAAGAGACTAAAAGAGAAGAGCTGGTAAAACAGGAATAGAAAAAGAAAAGACAAGACAAAGCAGGAATTAAACAAGACCCAATGAGAAGAAAGGTTTTGAAGAAGTCTTCTTATTTTCTCTTCATTGGGTGTTCATTGTATATTTTGGGTGGTGGACAAGACCTCCATGCAGGTAGACCCTCAAAAGAGGCAGTCAGCATGTTCAGACAGGTTTAATGGAACTTCCATCACAACCTGAGCCCGTTTAAATAAAACAGAGATGTAAACATGAAACATATGCGAAGCTGGGGAGCATTTCAGAAAACCATTGTTAGCCAAGGTTGCAGATTCCATCATTACAAACATAGTTTGTTGATTTGGTGTTTACCAAATCAATCATTGCATTAAACAATCACAAACTGTGTCGCAAATTTGTGCGCTTGAATGCTAGGGGCTCTATACCTCTAGAGCTGTAGTAAGAATGATAGTTCCTAGTTGTTCTATGTCCAGGAATCCCTCTATGCCCTATTAAACGTTCCAACATTTAAATGACAAAAAAACATTAAGGTCACTTCTCTTATAAGTGTATAATTTGCTTTCAAAGTGTTTTTACAGTTCAGTTTTAGCAATGTTTATATTGACTATTGCCTTCCCTTCGTAGTGCAATTTGAAATCATGTATGCTATTTTGAACACAGCTGTGGCTCATGGCAAAATCTATAGGTGAACTATCTTTTAAAAGCCAAATTTACATCTCCAAAGATTGTGAAAACAAAAATATATAGCATACAGTACAATTTTTTTTTTTTTTTTTTTATAGTGGTTTATTTATTACGAAATGTATCTGTACTGTAGGACTGTATGACATGAGCCTGTTGGTTAGAACATCTCTGCAGTGGTTTAAATGTCAAATTGTGCTTAAAAATAAATAAATAGAATAAATAAAATAAATAAACAATATCCAACAACATTATTATTCTTATTGTTTTTATTAAGTAGGTTTTTTTATTTCTTAATAAATAACTTAATAATTATTATAAATAATTTCTTAATAATTATTTCAATTAATATGGTAAACGAGTGCATGTTTTTAAAAAAAACAATATTGTTTTTTTTTTAATGAGTGTATGTGTAAAACATAAACAAAAAATTTCCAGGAAAAAAAAATGGGGTTTTTCACTGAAGAAGTAGTTACTCCACCCCATTTAGAGCGTCATTACGGACGTTTTACGTTATAACTAATGGGGTTATAAATATCTGCAACAAAGCAGCTACAGTTTTATGAAACATTAATCGTTACATCGTTCTTTTCCCAAGCGATGCATCGTTCTATGATAATTCAGTTACATCGTTGTTTGGGAAACGCACCCCTGGTGAATACACTGCAAAGAAATTAGTTTTGTGCTTTTTTTTTTTTTTGTCCAAATATCTAACAATTCTTAAAGGGTCACGAAACACCAAAACACATTTTTTGAGCTGTTGACAGTCGTATATGTGTCCCACACTGCTAAAAACACTATTAGGACACCTATATTTCACTAAAAAGTGTAAATTGGTTGTTTTTGCGTTATTTCAAGCAAATTTGTACTTCCTGTTTGAAACTAATTTTTGAAGCTGCGTCACGGCCATGACATAATAGCGTGTATTTCAGCGTGCAGACTGGGAGTCTGTACCAGAGTGTGTCTTATTACGTCTTACAGTGTGATGCATTAATGCATGAGTAAGGCTTGGGTCAAACCAATCACCGCGCTCTATTGTGCAACTTCATTAATATTCATTATTGTCACCGTGTTTACACCACAAAGACGCCACGTTGTGTTGGCAAAACAAGCATGAAGTGTTGCTTTTATAGTTTGCTGCTGTTAAGTTTCGTTTTCATTTTCTCTCTGTGAGAGCTCTGAGTCACGTGTGGATTAACAGTGTACGCGACGCGCGACAACAATAACTTACGTGTCTAAGGAGGATTATTGTTTACCTGAGAGCTTTTCTCATCTGCAAACGCTGAAATCTGGATTTGCTTGTAGTATTCTCTCCATAAAGACGCGGCTCTAGTTGCTGGTGATTGTTCTGTCTCTACAGATTTGGTAAGTGAGCGACCAGTGCTCTTTGTTTATTCAGTTTGTTCGTATCGAATTAAGTTAACTATTGCACTGAGTGCAGAAATGTTAGCACCGCATTTTGTGCACCGCACTTTCTGACACTACCTGCCGAGAGCATCTAAGTTTCCGGGAAATGCAGAGTTTTTTTTCTCTCATTCGCCGTGCGGTATCAAACATTGCATGAAAAATACACGCTTGCAGCAGTTCCTCGAATCAAATATCTCGTTTGTCGCGAGAGGCATGAATGAACTCTCTGAATGAAAGAGCAAAACTGCAGTTAAAGTCCAACATTTAATAATTTGGCAAATAATTCGACTACAGATGTCCATGTAGGTTAAACCCCATCTCTTTCTCCTGTCTGTGTGGGTGTGTATTTTGACTCTGAAACTCGCGCGTGCACAAATAGACACTTCCACACTCTCCCACTTTAGTTCCTTCGACACTCCCCCCTAAACAGAGCTGGACACGCCCACTTTTCTGACTTTTTCCAAAGTAGAGGTGTGAAAACACCCTGCTGAAACGAGGGGGTTTCATGGCCCTTTAAATTAAGAAGCATTTTATAGACAAGCAAAACATGTTGTCTTGTTTTCAGAAAGAATATGTCAGGCTTTGCTACAAAATATGAGTTTTTCTTTATTCATTCATTCATTTTCTTTTCAACTTAGTCCCTTTATTAATCCGGGTTGCCACAGCGGAATAAACCACCAACTTATCCAGCACATGTTTTACACAGCGGATGCCCTTCCAGCCGCAACCCATCTCTGGGAAAGAGTTTTTCTTCAAAGTAAGTTAATTTATCTGCCAATGGAGTAAGCTGTATTTAGCTTGTTTTAAGGAAAAAAATCTATTAATTTTAACTAATTTGTACTGAAAACAGGACAATATTTTTACTTGTCTAGAAAATGCTTCTTGATAATATATATATATATATATATATTTTTTTTTTTTTTAGATATCTGGACTAGAAACAAGACAAAAACTGTACGTAAGAAAAGCATTGTTTTGCAGTGTATACAGTATGTTTATATGAATCTAAACATTTATCCACCATGACGAAGACACAGTAGACAAATACAGCAAATTTACAACCTCTGTCTCCAAACAAGAACAATTAGTAGACTTGGAAACAACAAATAAATAGCCTTATCTGTATATCTGACCAAATACGCAACAGCAACATACGATTTTATTTATCAAATAAGAAACATCCCCATGTCACACTCCACAACTTGAACAAAACCAAGCTTTTGTCTTAAAAGGCGTCAACATTCTCCATCACAAAAGACTTTGTACCTTGGTGATGAAAACCACCATCTAACACAATCAATACTGCCATAGTAACTTAATAAAGCCACAATGTGTGTGTTTACAGACTCATTGTGCCTTTTCTCCGCACAATTCATCGCAGCCTGCAAAAACATGAATGGACGCACCCAAAAGCGCCTGCGATTCACGCGAGAGGAAGTGGTCTGCCTTTAACATGACAGATGTTATGTTACAGACACTGCTAAGGGATCATATTGAACGAGAGGAGACGTATTATGCTGTTGAAGAGTAATGACACTCCTCAGAAATTGAAAATAGACTCTTTGTTGTTCTGACATGGGGATGCGTGTGCATGTCACACATTGTGTTCGTAATGCTACGGTGGTTATGTAAGCCTAGTAATCCACCTCCATACAAACATGCCTGAGGCCAGCTTGAACCAATCAGCCCTCGATATCTGCTTTCTGTTTATCAACACTTCAGCAAGTGTTACTGTCCATGGGAGATGACAGGGTCTTCAGCCCGTAGCTCTCGAAGAGCTCTCAAGTCGACTCCACATCAGCCTTTATTTATAGTCTCCCATAGCAGGCGGCACTTTTATGCACTTTCAGTAAATGGACAGAGTGAGTTGTGCATGCGCTTGTCTTGTGCACTTACTGTAAGAGAAGCTGAGGCGAGGGGTGACGTCGTCTTCTGCTGATTGACACCGTCCGACCAGGAGGACGTTGAGGAGGAACAGGAAAAAGACACGTGTCATGTTTAGTGTCCACATTTTGTGACTCTAGATTTTCGGGCTCTCATGAAGATCTTTTTTTTACAGTTTCTTTTTCTTCTACTCCTCAAGCTCCTGAAAAGCAGGGCTGTGTGTTGAGGATTTGGGGTCACCTTCACAGGGCCTCACAATGGTGGATTTCTACCAAGAATTGAGTCCTCAAGGACAGCGGTACAGCACAAATCAGTCTCCATGAGACTCCCACAATGTGTTGTGTTCAGCAATCTGGAACAAAAAAGACACAAAAATGTCACATTAAGATGAGATAAAACATTAAATTATTAGTGGGAAATGTTTCATAAAAAAAAATGTACTTTTTTGCATTCTTAGTAGTCAGCAAATGTGGATTGATATCATTAGTGACCCTGGTTTGCTGGTTTTATATATTACACTAGGCCGCTACACCTCTTGTGTTGTACAGGTTTGTTTTTTTTTAACAATAGCAACAATATGGGTTCAAATATCCAAAAATCATTAGGAAATTAAGTAAAGATCATCCTCCATTGTTATTTTTTGTGAATATCATACTGTAGTTATTTCAAAATAATTTATGATTAGTAATGTCCATTACGAATAACTTATTTTGGACAACTTTAAAGGTGATTTCCTTAATATTTCGTTTTTTTAGCACCCTTAGATTCCAGATTTTTAAAATAGTTGTCCTATCCTAAGTGTTGGGAAAAAAGTAATAAATTACAATCTGTAGTCACTTAAAAAAAAAAAAAAAAAGTAACTAAATGTGTTAGTTACATTTTAGGGATGCAATGTGAATATATATGTGCTATGTTATCTTATTGTAATTTGAATTTTTACTTTTTTTTAAAGAGATAAAGTAGATGTAAAATTGTTATATATTACTTTATACCCAACACTTAAACCATACATCAATGGGAAGCTTATTAAATCAGCTGTCTTTTTATGTTTAAATCTCAATAAAAAAGACACTTATTACTGGTTTTATGGTCCAAGGTATAGTTATAATGATAATACATGTTTTTACACTTCTAAATACAGGTGAATCAGAAATCTAAAATGGGTCACACTTTATTGTAGTACAGTATGATGGTCCGTTTGTTGAATTTAAGTTACATTGCATATGCATGCCAACTAATTCTCATTAGATTATAAGTAGGCTGTTAGGTTGGGGTTAGGGTTAGAGTTAGTGTAAGTTGACATGTACTTGCACAGTCACTTATAGTCAGTTAAATGTCTGGTGAAGGAGCAGTATCAACAGATATTGAGCAGACAGTCTACTAATACTCAATTGGAACATCAAATAAAGTGTTACCATTAAATGTTTAGAATTTTCCCACCTTTGATCACCTCCAGAAGAAGCTGTAAACACTTTTGAACAAATATCCGAAGTTTAGAGTACACACTCTTTTTGAAGGCATTCAAACAGCAATAAAGATGACCTAATCTCCACCTAATGACATAAATTCTAAACATTTTTTGATATGTCGTATGTTTAGAAATGGATTAAAACACCCACCCAGAATGCACCACTGAACCAAAAGGCATTTTAATTCCAAGTGTAAATGTAAATCTAGTTTGTTTAAGCCACTTGTCAAAGTTGATTTCCCAGCCTAGCCAAGCTGACGCTGGTATAGCTTGCAGGCAAAAAAGTAAAAAAAGTGCTCAAAACTCCTTTTAAACTGACAAAAAGTTTCAACTTAATTAATGCCACATGTATAGAGTTCATTTTACAAGCGTTTATCTATTTTTAAATGAACCAAACATCCTCTTCACGCTACGCTAAACCTATAACACAGTGTGAGTGAGTCCCTAGTTCACGCTTGGTAGCACCAGGAGACGTGGGAGTTCAAACCAGCCGTCTCCTACCTGTGCGCTTGAGTCTCCGTGTGGGGTTATATCTCTGAAAATCATCAGCAAAGATTTGGGTTGTGCCAAGCATTGGCGCATGAATGAGAGTATGTAGCCCTAAGGGACACAGATTTACACAATATTTGCTCACCTCTTAGCAGGACTCTTTGTCTGTGTTTAATCAGTGCTAAACTGCAACGCTGGGTCTAAGTTTGCAGAAAAGTGTCCTGTTTAACTTTGGAACTAGTATTTCATTACAACTAGAATGGCCATAGTGGTCATTATTACATTCAAAGCTTCTACTGAGATTAGGATTTGAATGTCTATTGTCATATTTTATAAAGTTATTACCCTACAAATAGCCTTTGATAACACTCCATGTGAATGAGTTATTACCCACCAAACAATTTTGTGTTCAATAGATGTCTAATAGACATCTAAATGTAGCCAGCTTGGCTAAAACAAGGCTAAACTTGGGCTGTCAGCTAAAATCTAATAGACATCTAAGAATAGACTAAAACTAGACTAGTTGTCAAATAGACAGATTTTACATGTGTAGTCATTTATTTCTGTTTATTTGAATTGTTTTGGCCTATTCTTTGGTGTCTATAAGATTTTCACTGACAGCCCAAGTTTAGCCTTGCTGTTTTAGCCAAGATGACTATATTTAGATGTCTATTAGATATCTATTAGACATCTTTAAAAAACAAAAAATGCTTGCTGGGTAGACCGCATGTGAAATTTTGCACATCATTTTGTCCAGCAAGTAGGAGAGCAAGGTTTTTCACTGCACTGAATATGTTGTTTTAAAAGACATATTTGAGGTAAAGTTATGTTTTCGCTATCGAAATTTAATGTTTTTGTTATCAGCAAGTTGCTAGCCAACAGATGCATTCATTTTTAAAGCCAGAGAATCCTGTAAGTAGTGGACACTAAAATACATGCTTTCAAATTGACCGCTATGGCCATTCAAGGTAGAAATAGTAAAAACTTAATTGTGTTTTGTCAGTTTTAGCAAAACAAGCAATGTTTTTAATTCCTTACATTTATATATAGTCTTTCTGGACACTCAAAGTGCTTTACACATTTTTTGGGGGGGTATCTCCACATCCTACAGTGAATAGTCCAGACTGCTGAACGAATCACTGGCACTACCCTTTCTACACTTCAAGAACTGTACTCTTCCAGTGTGAGTAAAATGGCTCCCAATATCTCTGGACACCTCGCACCCAGCACACTACTTGTTCGAACTGTTACCGTCTGGTCGGCGCTTCAGAGCACCAAGCACAAAAACAGCCAGACACTGGAAAAGTTTCTTTCCTCAGGCCATCTACCTCTTGAACAGTTAAATATTCCCCAATGTGCAATAAATGTGCAATAATTTCTCATACATACTTGTACACAGCACCTAATAACCTGTATATTTATAACAAATCAGTACATACAATTCAACCTCCAGATTTTTTGACTAACTGCATCTCTGTTTATTATTTTATCGTATTTATTTTTATCCATATTTAATTTTTGTTGTCACTTGTCACTTTATGCACAGTGGAAGCTTCTGTAGCCAAAACAAAGTCATGTGTGTGTGAAGCACACTTGGCAATTAAACTTATTCCGATTCTGATTCTGATCCACCACCAGTGTGGATGATGTCTACAAAGTTTAACAAACTAGCATTGAAAGCCCTGCACTGCTGGGTTTAAGGCAGTTATTAGCAACTAACTATTACTCGATCAACCAATAACATAACAGACCATGCTGCTGCAATAGCATATGTTGACGGCAACAATAACCAGACTGAACCAACATGAATACTCGCTCTGACGTAAACCAGCATTCTCAGTAGGGTGAAATGTAGATAAAGCAATAAATAAGTGCTTTTTGGAAGCAATTATATTGTCAATGGAAAGTCCTACATTGTGTGTTTACTTGTGGGCTTACAAAGTTTAAAGAACAGTTGACCCCACTTTACCATAATCACCCACAGTGATCATCCTTCATTGAGTTCTCTTCCATAAATCGCTGTTCTGAGAACCAATATTCAACATGAAGTCATAAAATGTATAATTCCAGCCCCCTGCTAAGATGAACTCATTTGCTCCCATTTAGATAAGGCATACGTGGAGTTTAACTGCCTGGCAAATGAAATGGACTGTAAATAAGTTGAAAAGCTCTGCACGTGATATGTGATCTCTAGTTACAACACAGAACCCTGTCATCAGCCCATCATGTCAGTGGGCGAACACTTAAGTGGTTTCCATTACTCTGGCTATATGGACGAGCCTTTTAAGCACAACCACAAAGCTAATCCAATTGCAATTCCCATTTAGGTTTAAGATTTAATATCAGTGTCAAATGTGTATGCTTTATTTTTATGAACTGCCAACAGTAAAGGGCTAACAAATGGAGTGTGGTGAAAATTAATATTGGTGGAGCGGAAAAGGGAGTCTTGGTTTCGCTAGACTTCTAAATGAAGCATATGTCTAAAACATTAATCCCACAAATACATCAAATGGTATAGGGTGAAATTGTTTGGTTTAATTAGGTAGCTACAAGTTGTAGTGAGCGACATCAGAGTTTTTAGATGAATCTTAGGATGTCTTTACAAATTGTCACCTTGGAATTATAATATTGTATTAGCGTTGTGAATGATTTTGAGATATTGAGCTTCAAAGTTTTTGCATTCCATATAACAAAAATATGTGGGAACAGAAGAACAGTTCTCTTTTATATATTAACATGACAGAGACCCTAAATGTACTCTAAATGTAAATTATCAAAATTTTCTTAAATTTGCTTATTTAAAAAAAAAAAAAAAAAAAAAGACAAACACAGATAAACTTTTAATTCTAAAAAGGCATTTTCTGCTTGGAAGTATAAGATTATATGTGGTCAATCATTAATTGAAGTATGACTTTTCAAAATAAATAGATAGAATAAATAAATCAGTCTGTTTATTAATTTAATTGTGAAAATTAAAATTGGTGTTGTAATGATATGTTGATGTTTGAGAAAGTACTTTTTTGATTTCTTGGACATTTATTTAATGTTTTAGGATGAATATTGTTTTCTTGTTTAATTTAGGCATACAAAGCTTTGCTAAATATTTTATCTAGTGCAGGTGTTAATTTTATGTAACTAATATGGTAATAGTATTGTTGTAATTAAGACCCATTAATTAAATTAGGTATTTGCCTTTCAAGGCTTAATACCAAATTTAAAGTCTTTAAAAGAAATGAGAAAATGAGCAAATCTGTTGTTTAACAAAGCTTAATAAACAATGAAAAATGTTTCACTGACTATATACACAAATAAAAATATTTCACAATAAATATATTACATTTTTAACAATGGAGCAGTCTTATGGAATGACAAAGAAATGTAAACATCACATAAAG